TGCAAGTATGGTTTCGATGGCTCCGGGACAGAATGGAATACACACCAACAAGGATCATGATCGATTGCAGTCCAGTTGAAATTAACAGCATCAGAGAAGTTTATGGTCATCAAGTTCAAGTTCTTCTGTGTCATTGGCACATTAAAAGAGCATGGGAAAAGTACATCACGTCCAAGGTAATACCTTTTAGTTAGCCACATTATCATATATTCAATATGAACATTTTTTTAAATATTGGGCTATAGATCAAAACTACTCTGTCAACAGCCGATATGAAGAAAAAAAGAGATGAAGCTCGTTCTGCCCTTGGTGCTTTGATGAATTGCAAAACTGTCGTTGAATTTGTGCATGCATGAGATTAATTTGGTAAAAAATGGCGAGATACATATGAGCATTTTAAACTTTATGGCTATGTGTTGGACTATTGGTATCCTAAGCATCATCTTTGGTGCAAGGCTTGGAGAGAGGTACATTTTGGGCTCGTTTTAGCTTTATTTTGCGCTTCAATATTATTTAAGGTTGTATGTTAGAATGCGTCCTTTCATACAAATAATCTGATCGAAAGCTGGCATTCCAAACTTAAACGCAAATATCTTCCATACAGTCGCAATCATCGTGCTGATCGTATGATCTATGTGTTGACGCAGTTAGTCGAAAATGATTACCGTGCTCAAGTACTGCGTGTTTTTGCTGGTGTTGAAGAAACAACAGCGACTAGAGAAGCTCAACAAAGGAAAAAAGAAGCTTGCAAAAAATCACCAGATGAAGCTGACCGTATGATAACTATCTATGATGATCGTGTATGTATCATTTCTGTATGTGTGCGTTTACTTTTACAATTGCTGATTGTACTATGGCAATAGGTTACCTGTCAATCTTTTACTAGTTCTGCTTTGTATACTTTAAAATTTGAAGAAACCGATAGCAATGGCGTTATTGGTTCTTGTAGTTGTGAGGACTTTAAAAAGCGTAACCAGCCATGCAAGCATATATATCTTATCGCATATCACACCACCATTCCAGTAATCATAATTTAAAGTTTGAGAATTAGTACGCGGGCTGAAAAATCGAGACCAATCGGACTGAAAAATTTCCGGCATTTTAGTAGTATTCAGCCCGCTTTGTTAATGTGAAGGGCTCGAGCACTACACGGGCTGAATAGTTTGGTACTCTACTCACATCCATTTCTGTGACATATTCCATATTTAATAGTAGAATATGTAGCACCTATTCACGCTTACTCAAAGTGTGTGTCCTATGTCCAGCAACTCTGATTTGATAGTACATCTCTTATTATCCAATAATTCTCAATGGAATGCACAGCCAGAACGCTCAATAATATATGTTACGCTAGATAAATAATGTATGTTTAGAGATAAATCTGATAGCTCGTAAAGTACTGGCATCGGGTAACACCACAGTAGGTTCAAATCAATGGATGTAATCATACACCAGCACCTAACGTCTCCTTCATTACTGTTCTTTCGCATGTCCCTTTTCAATTAAGTCTTGATAGACCGCTAAACGCTCATTACATATTGGCATTTTTCTTTTCTCTGATGAACTTGATCACTGTTGATACGATCAAATTGCTCCAGTTAGAAGTGCAGTGGCTAAGTATATACTGGATGCATTCACTGCCAAGTGTCACATTCAGCTGGTCATCGCAATGCTTCTTTATTAAAAGATTGCTCTCATTACTAAAATTACATTGGCCAAGTAGAATTACTGTTGGCCATCCACTACTTTTTTTTATAAGCTTGCTCTCATTGCTATTACGGTGGCCCAGACCAGAATCGCCTTGGCCACATAAATTTGTCCTTTGCATGACTGTAAGCTATAAGTTTATTTTCATTGAGATATATATCTGTATCACATATCAAGGTGGGGTAGCTTGAAGACAATACATCATATATAAGATCCTTCAGCCCGCGTATAAGTGCTCGAGCCCTTCACATTAACAAAGCGGGCTGAATACTACTAAAATGCCGGAAATTTTTCAGTCCGATTGGTCTCGATTTTTCAGCCCGCGTACATAAATCTCTAAAGTTTTCCTCGCCATTCAACAACAACAACAGCATCATCATCATAAATACCAGCATCGTCATTACCAGCATCACCATTATCATCTACGTTGTCAACAACATTAACAGCATCAGTACAACTACCACCACCATCCTTACAGCAGCAGCAGCAGCGTAGAAACGATCTGCTCGCTGAATATGAACGCTCGAAAAATCAACTTGATAATTTATTTGCAAAAAACAAATACAACACAAATAGAGAATATGCTTGTTCTACAAAAAAGGCTATGCACAGACATAGAAAAAAACATTAGTCGAATAAAGATTATAACAAATATTTAGCAGAGATACTTATCACATGTATTCTGTTTGGTTGGACTTCGCATATTTTTTTTTGGATACAGTTGTGCAGTTGTTGGACTTGCAATATGGGACTTGGAATTTCTCCATGCTTGTGACTGACTATCCTCTGACGTAATTTTTCTTGATGAATAGAGCGACTCGCCCAAAAACTGGAAGTGCACATAATGTCGACAAGACCATTTGGACGATGGAAGGTGTAGACGAAAGCGAGTTGGAAGACGTATCACATCGTACGGGTGAACTGGAGAAAACAAGGTTGATTTGCTGCCAAGGTCAATACGTTGTTTGAACGTAAACTCATGGCAAAATTGGAAGAACGTCGTGATGCTGTCAAGTTCTTGAGCAAGGAAAAGTCTCGCAACCTGCACACATATCCATGGAAAACGCCAACATGGTTCATGCCTGTCACTCGTGTCAAAAGGAATTGTCTTCCTGTCGCAGCCTACGCGATCATCTTATAAAAGTCCACAGTATGTTCTTTTGTTTTATTGAGGTTTACTTTAAAAAGAAATATGTTGAATTAACCATCTCCTGTAGAGCTCAACTTTGAAATCGAACAAATTTATCAAAAGCGTGGCAAGAACTTGTAAGTAGCTGGTAATGCTGAGAAATTCCTTTGTACTAACCACGTTTTACAGTGACAATTTCATTTCAAAAAAGTATATTGATACTCACGTAAGTCTTATTTAAAGTGTTTCTCGCACACATACGTTCTTTTTCGATATTGAACTAACACTACTTCTAGCCAGAACTTGAGTATACTCGCCGCTTTGAGTGTTCCAGTTGTCGGGAACTATTTGGTTGTATCGAAGAACTGGGAGAACACTTTTGCAAACATATCCAACCAAAAAATCCCAAGAAAAGACCGGTTAAAGAAGGCACAAGTAGCAACAGCAGTAGCAGCAACAGCAGCAAAAAAAAGGTAAGCTTGATTGAATCAACACATAGGCTGTTCGTGCTAAAATGTGAATCATAGGTTTCTTTGAACAAGGGCAAAAAGTTGCACACGTTTGACTGCCAGTTAATTTCAAAAATAAATATACAAAACGGCCCAAAATTCACATTGGAGGATATGAAAAGACTATCACCAATGTACTCGTTTCGATTCCAAGGCGCACGTTATCCCGCGAGCGGTGATGTTGATGTAGTCGGCTACTGCCGTTCCACCCATGCAGCCATTCCAACGCCGCCCATGATGTCTCTGGATGCAGCAGTTATCAAGCCGGACAATCACAAAGCCAAAAACACAAGGTAAACGAAAACAAGCTCATTTATCGCCATCTTTTTTTTTTTTTGGGGGGGGGGGGTTTCTTGACAGATTTTACAACTATTGCCATGTTTTATATATAGTGGCGGCATGCAAATCAGAGTGCTCGGTGTACCTCAACAGGGCGCAAAATCACGTGTCGAGACACAAATCAAGCTATGCATCCAGCTTGTAACCGATGACGGCGATAAGGCACAATGGTGGTCACACCTTAAACTTCCCGAGCACAAGGTCGCGAAGGATAAACTCAAGCGCCAGATCATGCTGTCAACCGCTCCCAATGGCACCTGGATCGCCAACGTCGCCGGCCTTGATAGCAACAACATGCCGATGAGTCCAGAGAAGATACTCTTTTTGAGTGCTCGTGTGATCTGCGCTAGTGATACATCCAGGAAAATCGTTACTTGTTTGGGATGCATTCACCGAGAGGTAAGAGCTCTTGATAGCCGTTTAAAAGGGGGACTATGACCCGATTAACTTGCCAATAACCAACAAGAACAGCGCCTTCTAACGTCTTTGAATCTACACCTTGAATCTTTACGCATCCTCCGCCTGGCCCTTAATTGCAAAGATGTCGATGAACTAGAGGATTTTCATTTTCATTTTGGGAAAGTGCCCGTTACTGCAAGTAAGGAAGAAAGAGGTTTATTCCTCTGTATCCGTCACACACTGCAAGACTTTGTATCCAAGTGCAGACGTAAGGCGGCTACTGTCCCTACCAACCACGAACGCACCTTTTTTTTCGACCGAGTCATGCCTATCATCAATTATTTTGCAGACAACAGCGGTGCTGTTTATTTCGAATGGTGAGAATAATCACGTAGCATATTGAATATGAAGAATCATAATTAACTACTCTTACTTAGGGGTGAAAAAAAAATTATTAGTCGCCAAGCTGTAACGCTATCTGTGGCTCTATCACAAACCTCAAGTCCCAATTACGCTGATGGTATTGGATACTCGACGACTGTTGATGTCTTGGATGAGGAACGCATAATGATCGAGTGTTCATCTGGTGGCCGAGAAGAAAATATCCAGCATACCTACGGCGATAGCTTGAAGCTCGTCGAATCTCTTACCAGTATGCTGGTTCTAAAAGCATACAGACGATGTAATGCAAATTTCGAGACATTTATCAAGTTCAAGACCGTTGGCATCCAGTGTGTCAAAAGAACGTTGACGCTGTTCATTTGGAACTTTGGTTGCTGGTACGTACTATGAAGTACATTTTTAGAGTATCATAGAAATCATGTTATATTGTTTCCCCTGAATTGCAGGTGGAACTGTGAGTCCTGCGAATCCATCATATACCAAGGACGAACTGGCGCATCAGCTCCGTGAAACGAAAGCCAAGGTTCTTGTGGCTCACTCGTCCAACGTGGACACGGCTTTTGAAGCGGCCGACATTGTCGGCTTGGCCCGGTCAAGCATTTTTGTATTTGGAAAGGGGATAGTCAAGGGTGTGCGGCCATACGTTAAGATATTGCTTGGTGGCCGTCTTGCCAGAACGGTCGAATTCAAGTTCGAGAAAAGCTTGCGTTCCTTTGCTTTTCCTCAGGAACAACAGGTACACATTGCTGCACGGCTAATTATTACTAAGAGATATAAAACTAGCGTTTAAGCAAGTACAAAACAAATAACTAATAATTCCACAAACGCTTTTTTTGTAAATCTCGTAGGCAAAAGTAAAGGTGTTATGACGACGTACGTAATAACAGACGGACAAAGGAAGGCAAACCCGTACTCTGTGGATATCTCAGAATACTGCAATACGAAATAATATCACGGCAATATGGTCTCCAACATCTGAAAGCGAAGCAGCACGTATTTTGGCAGTACTCCCCTTTTTCCACATTTATGGCTTGATGGTGGTTTTGCATGCACCCTTCTATATGCAGCGCCCTGTGTACATTCTGCCGCGTTTCGACCTGGAGCAATTCTGTACCACGGTCCAAAAGTACAAGATCTCCTTCGGATGTGTTGTGCCACCAATTTTGCTTTTATTAGCAAAATCGCCTGCTATTGACAAATATGACCTGTCGTCGCTAAAGGTGGTTGTGTCTGGCGCAGCTCCTTTGGACGCAGCTTTGGCAGACGAGGTACAAAAGCGGTTGAATTTGAAGGTGAAGCAAGCGTAAGGATCCAATATCTAGAGGGTTACAGGGATCTTGTGAGGGTAATGTTCGTAAAAGTGTAGAGCTTCTTTAAACAAAATGTATTTTTTAGGTATGGCCTCACCGAGACAACTCCAGTCGTTTGTATCCAGCCTAATAATAACATCGTTCCAGGTATGATATGAAAATTTCTTATACACAAATTTGAGAGAAAAGGAACGGTAGTATTAGACTTGATGGTTAATAATTCATCTTTGTGAATAAGGCTCATCGGGTGTACCTGACATGTTTGCCAAGGTCGTGGATGCCGAAAATGGAAAAGGTTAGCTATAAACGCGAAATCTTTTAACTCATAGGCGGGGAGGAACTGGAAAATAGGTAAAATAATCGTGGTGCTGACTACTGGGCGGTTGCTACTGCTCATGCTAGAAATGGGGGTCGGTGAACGTGGCGAGTTGTGGCTGAAAGGACCGAATATCATGAAGGTTTGTTGTTATGCCTATCTGTGCTTCATATTTTTTAGTTACTGATGAATAACGATTCTCGATAAATTAATTAACAGGGCTACCTTAACCGTCCGAAAGAAACTGCCAATTGTATTGACTCTGAAGGCTACTTCCACACTGGGGATGTCGCTATAATCGATTCAGCCGGTCATATTTATATCGTTGATCGTATAAAGGAGCTAATCAAATATAAAGGTTTTCAGGTATGTACTTACTGAGTTTTAGTCAGTACAGTGACACGGCGTGTGCTGAGGAAAGAGGCTTTTTCAATAACAATCATGAACATATGTCTTATTTTTTTTGCTTGTAAAATATTGTGTAGGTTGCACCTGCTGAATTGGAAGGCATACTGGTAAGTAGGTTATCATTCACAAAACCAAAGGGATGAAAAATTGTTTTTTTTTCTCACTACATACTCTCGATGTGCAAGCTAACCTAAAGATCATGTATCTATATAATAGCTTAAGTACGCAGACGTTGCTGATTGTGCCGTCATTGGCGTATACGATCATGAACAAGTCACTGAAATACCACGTGCCTATATCGTTCTCAGACCAGGTGTACAGCAGGGCGAAAAGGTCGCGGAGGATCTTAAAAAGTTTGTGGCAGACAAGGTGATTCTAGCTACAAGCAAATCCAATCCGTGATTTTCCGTGATCAAATCCCCAAGAGTGCTACTGTAAAAATTCTGCGAAATGTTCTGAGAAATGAGGTCAAGGCCGAAGAGGACGCGAAGCGAGCATCCAAGTTATGATAGAAAGACACAAGCAAAGCATATATGATATATTATAGATAATGCAGTAATTGTCTAGAATCTTTACGCAGATCACAACATCTGCATATGAATAGACCTATCCATCATGAGGCAAAGATTTAGTCAGTAGGAAACTTGATCAAAAATACACATCTCATTTGGATTATAACAAAGTAAAAGGATGACAAAAACCAATACTTTTCGGTTACACCTTAGGTAGAAGAGTTATAGCATCATTGAGGAGAATCCGTCGTTTAGCTCTTTTCTATTTTGGGGTGCGAACCTTGATATTACTTCTCGGTTATACTAGTCAGAACTTGATAGTCATAATTTTGCTCTTTTGCGACCGTTGAATGATACCGAAAGTTCACCAATATGTGTTTTCCGCGGCCACGACCACTAGTTACTGTCAGCATCCCCGCAACAGCAGCAGGAACCGAGGCTCGGCGTCATTATCGTTGCAATCAACATAACATGTAGCAGACAAATATGGAGGCCAGCATTGTAGCAACTGTTGTTCCTATTCTACAAAAACCTTCATTTCGCACTCGCAGATGACGCATGTAGTGTTAGGTTACACCATTGCTCCGGATCAAAAACACAACCACGCCTATTACGCCTGTTCCCTGCTGCATAAAACCCAGTTACGAGAAGTGGCGTGTGAGTCCTACAAAATAAGGGTGGGTTAATGAACACAAAAGAACAAGTTTTGCAAATTACACTCATCCTCATCCGTTAATACCCCACTGTGTATGATTTTTCAGGCACATAATTATTGTTGTTACGGTGTGTGGGAGCAATGGGTTTCGATGCGTATCCATGTATAAGAAGAAATAAGTTGTGAGAGAGAGAAAGAAATATGTGGTTGATTTACTATAAAATTGAAAAGAAAAGTATAATGAGTTAAACTATATGTGGCAAAAGAAAAAGACTTATACAAAGACCAAATAATCAATAACAACATCGACTTACCAGCTTCTCTTCCTTAAGGCCATCTCTCAAGAAGGTGAAGTAGGGGTGACACCATCCTCACGGAAGTTCAACAAGGCAACCATGCCTTCGGGATCCATGGACTCGGATGACCAAAAGTTTTGCTTGATGTGCATATTGAGTCCGACTTCATCAACAAATACGCACTTGTAGTAGTTGATACCGCTGGATTCGAATGCTTTGGGCCAGTTGATCCTGGCGCCGATCGTTTCGTCAGAGTTTCGATACTGGAAAATATGCTCCAGTTCTTCATTGTAAGCCAACATTTCTCGGCGAGGCTCTCGAAATTCATGGCGTCAGACTTGGTATCATAGTATCATTGAAGGAACTGGGAATGTTCGGCGGTCAGGGTAGAAGGACAACCAGGGGACTTGCCCATGGTACTCGGATTTACGCTTCACCGTTGACAAAGCGTTCCAGTAACGTTGGGAAGCTTGTTCAGGGATCAGTAGGTCGCATTTAGCTTCTGCTGCATTCAATGTGACGTTTTGGATTCTGTCAATCAGTTGGATAATTTTTACTTCTCGGTACACTAAATGTGCCCATAGAGCAATTAGCAATTTTATGTTGGATAGCAAAAGATCGGAAAAGTGTTTTATTACGACGGATACAGTGAACGGATATCAAAAGCTATTGAAGGGTATGACAACATTGGATAACATACTTTTTCGAACAATGGTTTCTTGCTGAGGACTTTTGCGAGGCCTTCCCCTGCCCTTTTCCACTGGTACTGTCGCATTTTAAGTGGCCACGGTCGCAGTACAGTGCCCGCTCGCTATAACGATACACCCTGTGGACCGAAAAACCGATCGTTACATCGAATTATCGTTATATCGAATTAGCTCTCAGAGTAGATGAGCTCGGAATAACATTTATCCATAGTCTACTTAGATATCCTCTGCAAAAGAAGAAGGAAAAGAATGTGCTGGAAACATAATTCAGCTAGCATCCATCATTAGCTTAGCAATAATCAATGAAAAGAGAGGAAAACATCACTTCTTTATCCCCAAAACGTCCTCTCACTTACCACTGCTGACAGAATCGCAACTGCCTCCTCTCGCATTATCAGTGAATTGAAGGAGAGTTGGGTACATTATTTATTTTTTTTATCAAATACTAAAGTTATGCTGGCTAATTGTTCCTGATATGTAAAGGTAGTTGAAGATCCTGAAGAAGACAAGTAGTAGAGAAAACAACATGAAGAACAAGAGCAACAACATTCTTTGTTCTCCATAAGAGAGCATATATAAGTGTCATATGGTCGAATTCCTAAAAGATATGGTAGTAGCTGATTATGAAAGTGACGCTGGAATTATCTCTCATCTAAGAAAAAAGTTGAAAACGCTGGGTGCTGAAGAGCTAAAACAGCTAAACAAGCAGATATTCTATCTTAATATGAAAAATAGAGTGCATTATTTACCGCTCGATAAACCGATATTCTCGAAAATTGTATCGTTCATCGTTATATAAAAATACCGATATTTTACTAAGTAATCGGCCTTGCACCTGAGAATCCTATCGTTATATCGAATTATCGTTATATCGAATATCGTTATAGCGAGCAGGCACTGTAGTCGAGGTCGAGGTGGAGGTTGGAGGATCGGTTACCTAGGGTGTGGAAGCAGCCTGATACATATTATGAACTAGCAATTAGTAAAAAGTCTGGAATACAAGTCAAATATTATAAATTACCCTTGGTGTAATTTTTATTTTGGCCATTTGACACAAGTGATTGCACGTCAACTGTAAATCCACTACATTTGTGGGATACAATTTATACATATCACCGACTTCTACAGTATAGTATCCCATCTTCACACATAGCAACGTCGGTATCGTACATAATCAAACATCATTGTTTAATTGAACCAGCAACCAGCAAAAAAAGATTTACTAAAAATAAAAAAAGCTATCGCCTTAAAGCAACTTTCAGAACATCACTGTGCACTCTAGTGATCCTGCTTGGCTGAGGAGGGGCACGAGATCGTCTGGGTCTCGGAGGTGGTGCTGGCATCCCGGTCGGTAGGTGCGCATTAATTTTCGAGGCCGTTGCCTCGGGCATATCCACGGTTCGGCCAGCATCCTCGACAGTACGCCCTTCAAAGAAGTACACCTTAACACCGTAACGATTTCCTCAACGATATATCGACGGCTTGTCCTTGTTTATTGCTGTTGCTTTTAAGGTCCCCGTTCCCGTTCTGGTTCCGGTTGCAGTTCCCTTTGTTGTTGTTGTTGTGGAGGTGAATATGGTGGTGGAGGGGAGGGGGCATATGGAAGACCATCGTCAAAATAATCCGTGGTTCCTGGTGCGTCTCCTCAATTTGTTACTAGCGACTGAAATACGGCCACAGCCTTTTAAATATATTTTCGTAGACATATGATTTGAGTAAGATCGATCGAATAGGCAATAAAGGTCTCATGTAATAGTTGATGATCCGTCACGTTGTACAGAGCCGCTGCATAAGGAAAGCACATTATAGTAAAAGTCTACAGTCAAGGACCATAAGCTAGAGTCGCACAGGACAGCTGCAAAGTAAAAGTCCACAGTGGAGGTCTATAACCTACGATCATATTGACCAGTCACTTATGGAGAATACTCAACCCACAGTGGAATAGAGCCAATCCGCAATGGGACTTTTTCGTTTGACCACCAGTGTCAAACACCATGGGAAATTTTCTGAACAATCTGAACAAATATTGTCACACAAATCTCCACATTGGGACATTTTCTGAACAATCTGAACAAAATAATCTGAACAATCTGAACATTTCCTGCAACACAAGGCTTCTATATTCGTACAGTAGAGGATAAACATCTGAACAACCTGAACAAACTGAACAATCTGAACATTTCCTGCAACACAAGGCTTCTATATTCGTACAATAGAGGATAAAACATCTGAACAAACTGAACACTTCCAGTAACACAAGGCTTCCATATTTGTGCAGAAGAGGATAAAACATTTAAGAGAAAATATTTATTTACAAGAAACCTTTTTTAAACTCTTGCAAGATCTGTAAGACTAATGTCTCCCGGAACTATCGAAGGATGAATCAAGTAGTATCTATCATCGACCAGCGATGATTTGATCATTCCAGCAGGATTCAAGATGTTCTCTATTTCAGTAACATACAACTTATCGGAAGGCGTGGAACCATCTAGTCTACGATGTACATGTGGAATTCCGTTGTATTGTCGTTTTACTCGTCTTGCACCTGGTCTTGTGGTTACTGGACCATATTGATCAACAGTAACACCACCATAAAGTTTCACCGAGCAAAGCGGACGTTCATCACCTGTTGAAACATAATTAGCATTCGTGTAAGTATAGCACTCAAGGGGAACAGATAAATTATTATACTCAAAACCGTACCTTCAAATTTGTGTGCGAAAAATAAAATGACCTCACGAAAATAAGTACCGGTTACGCCAGGCGTCCGTGTGGGAAGAGATAATGCTACCAACGTGTCAAGTTTCGAAGAAGTGGATGGATATGCCACACACCTGTATATGGTATGTCCAAAGGTGAACAACCGTTTTCCAATCACAATTTCGTCGGTCATTGGAGAAGAAATTGCATGGTCATCTTCGAATTGATTGTTCCAGAACCTCCTCAGGTAGTGCTCCATATTGTATTGTTCACCGAAATTGGCTATGGATCCTGGATGACATTCCCAAAGCTCTATAATCGGATAGCTTGGGACTGTCGGTATAGTAGGAGCTTTCTTGTGGCTGGTCCTGCAAAAAGTCTTCCGGGTTGTACACGCGCTCAAAGTTTCGCATAAGGAGTTGTCGTTTTATAATATTGCCTGCGTTGGCACCAGGAGAAACTCTCGATTTTACGTGTTTTTCGAAGAAACCTAAAAAAAATGGTAAGTTGATTGTACTTTCATCATACGTTATTTTGGATATTACCAATTGCGCGTTCGGCAGACCTTGTGCTATACCCTCTGAGAGGTCCGAGAGCTTCTATGGTCGCAGGAATATGACGAAGGAGATGAAAATTGACAGTGTACATATTATGCGTGACTTTGGTCTTCAAATGCATATGCCAAGTGTCCAAGTTTCTATCGTGAACATCTTGTTAGTGATATCTCCTTCCGCATTCAGGGTATGTTTAATAATGTATAACTTACGATCTAATTCTATCTAGATCATCCTGATCAATTTCCCAGCGAAGAGCTAAAGAGCATCCAATCACATACGACATAATGGCAACAACCTGTGAGGAATCGGCACCATATGTTGATACTAACTGCTCGAATACAAGTGTTGGCAGAACAAATTGCATAAATACCACCCAGTCGACTGCTCGCATGAACTTCCCCTTTTTGTCGACATCTGATAAACCAAAAAAAACTGTGAGTTAATGTTATATAAATGATGGCCTTATGTAATAAGTAATGTTAATGTATACTGACTAGAGAAGCTACCCTCAAATTCAGATGATGGTATTGTGGATAGCGAATTGACAATGGAATCACCAGCAATGGCCGAACACGCTTGCTTGGATAGTTCAATAGTACAATCAACGTTTGCATATTCACGCGAAATCATTGACCATATTTTTCTTGTGCAATTTGCTCCAATAAGATGCAGTTCGTCCAAGCCGAAAAATGTATGTCCATGGAAAGACTTTAACAAGCTAAACTCGGTTGCTTTTATGATTCCAAAGCCCTGTAAGTGGAAGAGGATATGAATTGAAATGGGCAGTAAGAAAAGGTTTTGTGAGAAACAAATTGCCTGGTTTTTTTGCATAAAAAATAGAATCCAATATACCTTATCACCCTCAGTGAATTCCTCGATCTCTCTTGGGGTAGGCATCTCATCATTATCGATATCTCCAGGGTAATAACGACCATTTCCTCTACCAGCTGGGCTGACTTGCGATATAGTTGTTATCCGGCATTGACGGCAGCCATACAAAGCACTGTGTCCCGCATGATGACAAATCTCTTCGACCCCAATGATATCACCACTGGTTAACATCAGATGTACGTTGAGCTCGAACACGCCACTTGGACAAGTAACCCTCATTCCAGCGTCTTGAAGGATTCGAAGCTCGTTTAACAAAGGCCTGAGAAAACTGTACAAGTTTCCAGTGTGATCGGCCGGGATGATTGCAACTTGCAGCATATTTTTTGTTTTGTACCTATAGTTAAGTACTCATGAATAACAGATATAGAAGTATATACACGTTTGATTCTAATTATATAAACATTTACCTTTCTAGAGGCGGTAAGCTCATGATGACAATATGTAATATTGTCATTTTCGAGTTATTACTGCCTTTGAATGCGGAAACCCCATCTATGAACATTGAAATAGCAATGTCATTTGCATTTGGGAATAGCTCTTGTTTGCGATCTTAGTACACTGATCCGTCAAAGATGTCAGTTGACACGCCTTCCTCAGTTTCTTGTGGAGTTTCTGACAGAAGTGCGCGGGTACGATCATCTGCAACAAATGCTGATAGTTGCTTCGCGAACGGGAAATACGACATAGTCTTGATAGGGGATCCATTACTTTTAAATTGTGTGGCTTCGCATGAACAAGGATCCCTTGAGCCTAGTGGAAAAAGTCGACAGCCTTTCGGGCACATATGATACTTGATTTCTTGGAGGGTAAACAAGTTACCTAACCGCGATTCACTCTTCTGGGGGGAAAACAAAGGTTCAGTACCTATTTTATTCTATTAGTAATGATTGCTTGTAAATAACTATGAATTGTCGTCATTCGAATAACTTACCAAGTCCATCACCATCTGTACAACATTTAAGAATCAACAGGAGGTTGGATGCCATCTATTTGCACATGTAAGAAACTAAAATATTTTTATGCATAGTAATATGTAACTCAACTTACTACATCTTCGAACATGGTTATCAATGTCTTTACGATAGTATGAGAGAAAGCACTTGGGGCTAGTTTGTAACTTAAGCAAAGGCATGGTGGAAATAAATGAAATTGGATGAAGAAAATACAAAGGATAATGAACTGATAGACTGTAATAGTGTCGGCCCAGATACCTACAATCGGGAACGTGAATGGGTAGACAGTGTCAATCAATAAATAAGGTGAGACTCGGATATATCAAAGGATAAAACGATAGGGATCCATATAACTCAGGATCCCGTCTTTATATATACGTTGAGTAATAGGGGGCTAGCTATCGTCTAAGTATTGATCTACATCATACTGTTGTATCCAACATGATCAATAACACATATTCTTTAATCGGTCATTAACGATTGCTGTTATTTCCCTCATAACCTCACGCAAGCCTTGAATTGTTCGCCCATAAACCTCAAATTTTATTGGCCAGATATTTTGCCTAGTTAAAAATACCACTTGGACTGCTATTTCCTGATTTGAGTTCATTATTTTGAAGTTTTTGTTGGCACTTGTTTTTATTTGTTGTCCCTGGATCTTGTATCTTATACCATGGAAAATTATCTTACCACTACCTTTATCACTCGCCCAGCAAATGATGATGCGCCTGCAACATTATTTATTTCGAGATCAGAATATCGCAACTGGATCGAAGCTCAAGAGACGCAATACAACTGCAAGTTTTATAATAAAACGAAAACTGAACGTGGACGCAAAGAGAAGAACGAAGAGTATCTTCAAAATGGATACACATCTCCTCCACCCGGTCAAAAGCGCAGCAGAGGAAGAGAAGCATTCTACTTCAATGAAGTAAACCTTTCGGAAAATTTTATTGTAAACATAAAAAACATTTGTGTGATACTTATTAGATGACTTCTACTTCTGCTTTGTGTATAATCCATCTGCGATAGTACTACACGTGCCAACGGGCTGGTCCTCCTCGTGGAACGAACTCATTTTGTTGCAATTGCCAAGCAGGATTTACTGCCTTTGTCAACCAAGACAGTGAAAACAAGGACATGATCACGGTACAATACCGGCGTAAGCATACTGGTCATGAACCTGGCAGCAACATAGATACAACATCCGGTACACTTCCTCGCTTTGTGATGCAATTCATTCAAGAGCAAGTGGAGAAAAGTCTTACCTGGAGAAATATCAAACATATGCTTCGTCTCGACAAAGATGTTCTTGATAAAATCTTGGTTGACGAAACATATGATAACATACCTCAATCCATTCGAGTCAATTATCACCATGTCTATTATGCAATGAAAGTGCATCTTCGACGTCAATCCCAACTTGATCCTTCGATGGCAATCAGTCTTGGTAAATGGGGTGACAAAATAGAACAAGAGAAAGGACATTTTACTTCAAAAAATCTTGATAGATATGAAGAGGGAATGTTCTTTTTCGCGTTCATGTCACAATGGCAATTAAAGGTACAACAATCGATCCAAATGGATATACATTATACACGTACGTAATCATATATATATTCCTTGTTATATAGCAATTGAAAGAGGACGGAGACCTTGTTTGTCTTGATTCAACCCATAAGACTTGTGTGGATGGTGCCAATCATGACTGTTATCTCTATACACTTGTAGCAAGATGCAGGACTACCGCAAAGGGCAAGCCATTGGCGTGGATGATCACAAATTCACAAGCTCAATATCCTATTTTGTATTGGCTTCAATGGCTGAAGGATGAGCATGAATATATACCACCCCGTGTTATAATCGACGATTCTGATACAGAAATTATTGCTATTAATAAGGCGTATAACTATGTAAATGATGATCCGTCCACTAACACATTTACTGACAAAGTGAAGATACTTATCTGCCACTGGCATGTCCTTAGAGCATGGAAGAAGAACATTCTTTCCAAACTCACCGCAAAACCGTCCACTCCATCGAAGACTCTGAAGGAGAAGAAAGACATGCGTGAACATGCACTTTCCCTAATGATGAATATGATGAAAGCTGAGGTACCAACGGATTTCGATCTTGAACATGAACGATTCGAAACTTGGTCCATTGATAGTGAGGATGAATGGGAAAGTGCTCGTTTGTATTTGTACTTTGAGAGGGAGTTTCTTCCTAAACGTGAGAAATGGAGCCAAGCATGGCGCAGTGTAAGTTTTTGCTTCATCTTATATTTTCATGTCATTTTTCGACGAATTCTGTTACTAACCACGAATAAAAGCACCATCATCACATAAACACAAACAACTACATAGAGAGCTGGCATCGTCACCTCAAAGAAGTTTACCTACCAAGCTTGCGAAGACAACGTGTTGACGTGCTTGTCTATATCCTTTAGAGCCATGTTCTTCCAGATATAATGCAAGATCATGTTTGTACGGTAGCCAACTTTAGGCTTCGTACAATGAACAAGGCAGAAAGAATGAGACTTGCAAGAGTCAATGAATTGAACGGTAAGTATCTCTTTCGCCATTTAATATAATATTATTTCATATATACTATTATACAAACCTTTTTGCGCACATCATAGATGAAGAAGCCGCTGCCAAAATTGTTGGTCAAGAAGGGAACGTTTACAAAGTACTTTCTTTCACTGACCCGGAAGAAAGTACTACATATGATGTTTCGGTCAATATCGACGAAGATTATCTTGTGTCGTGCACTTGTGTCGATCACCAGACAAACGGTTCACCATGCAAACATATGTATTTGGTATGTAAATACATGAAGGACTTGAGCGATCATTAACCTTTGTTTATATAAAGATCAATCATGTCCTTGGAATCAGTTTGATCCGTCCACTATCACCACCACCATCATCATCATCATCATCGTCACAGCAAGAGCAACAGCCAATACAACAACCACAACATAGCATCATGGAAACTGATGAAGCTGCATCCACAGCATCCGAAACTCTTTCTGAAGAAGCTATGGATAGGTAAAATATAAAAAAAAAATTATCAGATTAATAATAGTACTTGAAATAATGCTTATGTTTTTGTAGATTTATGGATTCTTTTGAACGACTGAAGATTGAAGTCGAAAAAACAAAAACAAAAAAACGCGTATCTGTTCCTGTTCTTGGCCGACTTGCAACAATGTTCAACGATCAAACAAACGAGTTGAAAAGCTGGAACAGCTCAAGAACCGGTCCTTCAAAAAATCAGCCTCGCCATTAAAAGTATTTCATAATTATCAACGTTAATATTAAGATGTTAGATGTGTGGCATGGTCGTGAAGGTTTTTGTTTTGGTGAGATATGTGAGAGACGGAAAGAAGAAAAAAACAATCGGCAAAAGAAATTACGTCACAAGATTTTGTTAGATTTAAATGGGGTTGATTGGTTGCTGAGAAAGAATGAGCGGCAGCCAATGGAAACTAAGGTTTATGGGCGAACAATTCAAGTTTTCGTCGATTCTGATGCAGATCCAGTAGGCCTGGTCAAAGGCCGCTGAAGCTTCAAATCTGAAGGTCGTACAATAAAAACATTCTAGCCAATTATCACACTGATTACTTAAAAAGGTAGCTTCAGCTGTGATCATTCAACTCCAAGGCCAAAGGACCTTCAGCCTCGCGCTCTTTACTTTTTAGGTAAAGAAATATTTGTACGACCTTCAGATTTGAAGCTTCAGCGGCCTTCGATTGTGAAATTTTGCCCACGCAACCGATTACCCGCTATATGAGGAAGGCAATCGGCTGTGAAATTTTGCCTACGCAACCGATCACTTGCTATATAAGGAAGGCAATCGGTTGTCAACGCAACCGATTACCTGCTATATGAGGAAGGCAATCGGTTGTTTACCTGCTATATAAGGACAGCCTTAGCAACTGTGACAGCCTTCGCAACACATAACCATGGAAAACGTTAACATAGTTTATGCCTGTCACTCCTGTCAAAAGGAATTGTCTTCCTGTCGCAGCCTACGCGATCATCTTATAAAAGTCCACAGTATGTTCTTTTGTTTTATTGAGGTTTACTTTAAAAAGAAATATGTTGAATTAACCATCTCCTGTAGAGCTCAACTTTGAATTCGAACAAATTTATCAAAAGCGTGGCAAGAACTTGTAAGTAGCTGGTAATGCTGAGAAATTCCTTTGTACTAACCACGTTTTACAGTGACAATTTCATTTCAAAAAAGTATATTGATACTCACGTAAGTCTTATTTAAAGTGTTTCTCGCACACATACGTTCTTTTTCGATATTGAACTAACACTACTTCTAGCCAGAACTTGAGTATACTCGCCGCTTTGAGTGTTCCAGTTGTCGGGAACTATTTGGTTGTATCGAAGAACTGGGAGAACACTTTTGCAAACATATCCAACCAAAAAATCCCAAGAAAAGACCGGTTAAAGAAGGCACAAGTAGCAACAGCAGTAGCAGCAACAGCAGCAAAAAAAAGGTAAGCTTGATTGAATCAACACATAGGCTGTTCGTGCTAAAATGTGAATCATAGGTTTCTTTGAACAAGGGCAAAAAGTTGCACACGTTTGACTGCCAGTTAATTTCAAAAATAAATATACAAAACGGCCCAAAATTCACATTGGAGGATATGAAAAGACTATCACCAATGTACTCGTTTCGATTCCAAGGCGCACGTTATCCAGCGAGCAGTGATATTGATGTCGTCATTGCCAATAACCAGCAAGAACAGCGCCGTTTGACTTCTCTAAATCGACATCCTGAATCCTTGCGCATCCTCCGCCTGGCCCTAAATTGCAAAGATGTCGATGAGCTAGAGGATTTCCATTTTGGGAAAGTGCCCGTTACTGCAAGTAAGGAAGAAAGAGGTTTATTCCTCTGTATCCGTCACACACTGCAAGACTTTGTATCCAAGTGCAGACGTAAGGCGGCTACTGTCCCTACCAACCACGAACGCACCTTTTTTTTCGACCGAGTCATGCCTATCATCAATTATTTTGCAGACAACAGCGGTGCTGTTTATTTCGAATGGTGAGAATAATCACGTAGCATATTGAATATGAAGAATCATAATTAACTACTCTTACTTAGGGGTGAGAAAAAAATTATGAGTCGCCAAGCTGTAACGCTATCTGTGGCTCTATCACAAACCTCAAGTCCCAATTACGCTGATGGTATTGGATACTCGACGACTGTTGATGTCTTGGATGAGGAACGCATAATGATCGAGTGTTCATCTGGTGGCCGAGAAGAAAATATCCAGCATACCTACGGCGATAGCTTGAAGCTCGTCGAATCTCTTACCAGTATGCTGGTTCTAAAAGCATACAGACGATGTAATGCAAATTTCGAGACATTTATCAAGTTCAAGACCGTTGGCATCCAGTGTGTCAAAAGAACGCTGACGCTATTCATCTTATCGATGAATGAGCAGAAAAAGCTAGTGGTTGAGGAGCGTAGAAGTGCAAACGTACCGATCAGCTTTAACGAGATATTCGACTGGATGCAAGTTTTCGAACTAGTGGCCCATTTGCAGGTTAGTATTTTCCCTATTCATTGGGCGGAAAGAAAACTAACTTTTCTTTAATTTACTCAGGAGTTGGTGTTGGAGCAGCAGCATGTCGATCAAGAATTGCATGCAGAACATGCGGGAATCACGGCAGTCGAGAACGAAGACACAATAGGAAAAGCATTCGAAGACTGCGAAATGGATTTTGATGTTGACCTCGAAGCTACCGAACCAGAATGCGTTGAAGAGCAATAGTGCCCTTGTTATTGTATACCGTTACCCTTTAGCCAACCTTTGTTTTATCCAGTTGTATTTGACGAGTCATGACCCTTTGCCCCTCTACCATTTTCAAAATAATTATTAAATACAGTATGTCGTTGTGCAAGGCGATTATCAACTTGTTTCTTTGATCTGCGGCGTCACGTATTAAATATTTGTCATATTTATCTACTTTATACCTTACACTTTGATTTCCCTTGCTCCAATAGCAACTTTGATATGTGATGATTTTTTTTTACCGAACTACATGATAAAAGCGATAGCCTCTTTTTATACACTATATCGAAGATATCACAGGTTAGTTAACATCTCTTCAATATAATAATCTGCAACAATACAGTGCCAACGCGATAACTTGATACGTGATCACTCTTTCATATTTATATTGAGTTATCAAGTACTGCTATAACTGAAAACTTGATTGGCTAAAAAAATTGGTAATTGGAGCTTATCGAGAGTTTTCTAGCTATTTTGTAGTGAGCATTCTGATGCGCCTTTTAGTGCACCCGAGTATTACAGCATCTTGCTCATCTACAACTACTAGACCGTCAATAAAATTTTGACAATAGCATTTCCGATGGCTGATGGAGAGCAAAGGCGATACTTGCTCGTCAAGTTTATCGCTATATATTCTGTTTTCATCGGCGTGATCGACATCAGATGAGCTGTTGGAAGCTTGTTGCAAAACTCCTTTTCCTATAGGAAATAACAGTGGTTAGTTTATTGTTATCCACACTGCCAATACCGGCTCAAATATATACTCACCTTTGTCCTTTCCTATGTCTTCCAGCGCGCGTTGAGACACATCCGCTTCTACGACTTTCTGTACACATATTTCGAATTTTTGTTGGTGGGAAAGTTGGACTGGAGGAGATTTAGTTATAACGAAAAGTAAGCACGCACCAATAACTCTGGTAAATTCTTCTCTTCATATATTCTCTTAACTCTCGGTCAAATGTTTGCAATAACTGTAAGCAAATTTGTTAAAGGGTAAATACTAGCGTTACACAAGGCTACAACTCGATAATTCGATAACTCGATCACATTTGGGCGTCACCGAGGTTATCGAGTTATCGCGTGGGCACTGTACATTTCTATCGAAGATATAGTTGTGAGGTTATATAGTCCGAAAGTCTAACCGAATCTGAGCCGATAGAAAGCTGCCTCACACAAAGAGCAGCGACAAGGAGCAAAGAGAAAGAAGACATTTAAAGTTTGCAAAGAAGCAGAGCCTCTGGAGCACGCGTTGAGTGAAATATATTCGCCTTGCACAACGACATACTGTATTTAATCATTTTAATAATGGTAGAGGGGCAAAAGGTCACGACTCGTCAAATACAGCTGGATAAAAAAAGGTTGGCTAAAGGGTAACGGTATACAATAACAAGGGCACTATTGCTCTTCAACGCATTCTGGTTCGGTAGCTTCGAAACAGCTCATGATGTCTGGATGGATGCACAATGGCCCAGCCTGGGTATGAAAATCAGACAGATGTACAGCATAAGCGGTTCGTTGGTAGTGCTTAAACTTCAGCGTGTGCCAAAGACAGAAAGTTAATGAGATCGTCAACCACAAAGCTGTTGATATCCACATTGATGTGCTGGCACAAGGCAACAAAGCGGATTCCACCAGGTAAATATGTTTGAATTGTGCGCGTTCTGGCCAACAAAGGCGCACAAAGAGCTCTGATAGAGAAGACGAGAGGCCGCGTCCGACAAAGTGGCGCCTGATAGCGTTCATACGGAGAGTTGCCAATGCGGGTTCGTCCATGGCGACGTCGCGTAAGGTGAAGTCGTCTCGATGTGAAGAGCGGGGTCTAGCAGAAGAGGCGCAGCTGTGGCCATCCGAAAAAGCATAATGGATACCAAAGGGCTGACGGCCAATGTGGAATTATCAGAATGGCGTTCACCTTCTCTTGCTGAATCTTGTGTAGGCATTGTAAAATTAATGGCCAGGGCGAATGGATCCAGGCCAACGAAAGGAGCCCCAACATAGACTCATCGCGTCGGTGGCTAGAGCATGAAGGTCTATCCTCGAAGAGACATACTGCAGAAGGAAATGGGTCATTCGGTCTGCGAACAGATACATGTCGTGCTTGCCGATCGCCTGTTAGATGTGCCGAAACGTCGATCGTTTGTGCAAACAATAGCCGATCTAATGTGGGCATCCACTCGAGAAGAGCAGGGAGGTTTTCCACTCAAATTGGGGGGCGAGTAGGAAGGTCGTGCAGTGAGAACGGTAACCTTGGGTTTGACCACCTGCCGGCGTTGAATTAGGTTTGCAAGAGCGCCTGTTGCTGAGCAATTTGTTCTGCTAGATCCTGTGGTTTTGTATCGTAGTATTAAATAAGCAACAGTAATTTTAATGATCATTGCTCTTCTGTGGAAAATACAGCCCATGTGCATCATTCACTTTAAAAAAATAATATTTTCTAGTATCAAGAATGCTGAACAGATCATATCATTTTATACACCTGTTGTGTGAAATTGCCTTCCTTATATGGCAGGTATCATATACGGTTGCGTTGGGAAGATGCACCATATACATTCAGATTCTATAGTCACCACCATAAAAACCCCATAGCAGGTATGATGACTACTGCTAAACACTGTAAAGTTACATTGATCACTCTCAAATGCACTTTCGTACAACGTGTCTTAACATGGATAGAATATAACACATAGTAGACATAGTTTATATGGTGCAAGACAGCTCAAACCGTCCAAATTAAAAAAGTATCCAGTCACCAAAAGTTGACGATATGAAACGAAATAGCATTGCTAATGCAATTTCACTGAGAGGTATTGGGGGTGCCGCTAAGTGAGAGGTGCGGAAATGATGTGATTACTCGTTCAAAAGCTTGCAAGTAACTGTCCCGAAAGTCCTTGATGAGATCCCGTTGACTATAATACGTAACTTTGAGGAAAAGTCTTGGCGCTACATCGACGCGTATACCCAAGGGTACCAAAATCGTGAGGCTCTGCAAATTATGAGAAAGTACAAGTCTCAACGTAGGGTTGGAGTACATGATTAGGGCTCGGTGGCCATCTATCGGTCACAAGAAACAATTTTAAGAAAGGAAAAAAATACGTAGACGCCATTTTGACAAGTCTGGGAATACTTTTGTCGTTTTTTTGGTGGTAGGTTTTTAAAACCTCCGTACAGCTTATGCTGCTTGATGGTGATGATGCTCTAGGTTGCGTTTGCCGTATGTATTGCTGTTGGCGTTGTGGGTGGATTGCTTGTTGCTGAGGTGTAGGACTATAGAGCATATGCTGTTGTTATTGTTGCTGCTTCAATGAATGTGGCTGCACTTGGAATGCTGGATATAATTGCGGCGGAGGCAGTTGTGGCTGTAGTGTAGATGTAGTAGGCGGTGGCAGTAATGCTAACATGGGTGGGCGTACAAAGGAATACAAATCAGATTGGCTTTGAACTTGTTGCTGTTGCAGTGGTCGTGGAGCAAGCGGTTGGTAGACAGAAGATCTAGATTGCAAACGTCTGGATGTACTACGTTGTATTGAGGATGGCAGTGTCGGTGCTGGCAGAATCGATCGAGGCTCCAAAACTTGAGCAGTACCATCAGAGTTATCACGTATTTGGGATCGTGGGCGAGCTGTACCTTCCAAGCTGTTCGTTCCTTATCACCGCGTTCAGACTCCATTTGAAAAATGTGCGCAGATACTGTGGGTACTTATAGAAAATATATTGCGCCCGTCAGTATGTGTCGAGTTCCATGACTTGGCAAAAACGGTCCACCTCGTTGAGTTCGGTTGCTGACTGTTGTAGAATTGAGATATCTGTCGGTTGAACAAAGCTACCTCTTCTTTAGTATGTACAGATAGTATTGGATACCGGGTGCCTTGACGAGATGCTAAATATGCTGCTCTCACAGCTGCACTGTCTCCTTAGTTGGCCTGTTCAATTGATAGTCTGTAACGCTGCATGCCATATGTATCCAAGCTTTCGTCGCTCGTCTTGCAAATGTCGAACTTTTCTTCAGTCGAGGCTAACAGATCCGTGTTCTGCCAATCAAGCCAATGTTTTGGTAGCTGCAATTCGCGTCGCAAGTATGCAAGCTGGATTCTGTTTTTCATCCAAATATCGTAATGTCCCTTGTACTGCTTGCCTGTGCGATCAGCGTATCAACCTGCCACACAAAAAAATGTATTGAGTTGTTCAGTAAATTGGTCACTTTTTTCATGCTATGAGATACAAATTATGTTGAGTTCGATATTCGAAAGCAAACTAACCGCAAATCTCGGACTCGCATTTAAAGCTCCAAAATGCCTCTTTATATTCTGGTGCACACCGCCCTCAAGAGAGTCTGTTACCCTCAGGCATTGGTATACTGCCAAACCATTTTCATCCCGTCGTCGAAACAAGTACAATGATGTTCCAGGTGGATCGCTCAAATATCCTTTGCCAATAAGCTGTAGCAATTTTCGTGCATCTTTCCAGGCCTGTTTGTCAAATAATGGTCGACCACTTGAGGCGCATTTTAGAAGTCCAAACGTCATGAATAAATCGTACTATTTTGAAGGGTGGTGGGACAACGCGGCGAATTCGCTCGTTAATCAAGATTTGCGACGCCAACGAACTAAAGTAACATGGTTTTGATAAATCAAATTAAGCTTGTTGTCGCCCACAATAAAAGAGAATCATATAGATATATACCCATTTCAAATCTCTCTCCTTTTTCATGCAAACCCGGGTAACAGCTGCAACATCTCCAAAATCCATCCACAAAATTGCGTCAGTTAATTTACGCTAAATTCTATGTGTAACCCATGCTCCTTTGGTATTGAGATTCTCTTGAGCGCATGCCAAGCATTTTGGACGATTCTGGTGTGGTAGGCGTTATCTTGCTCCAAGCGTTGCGGTCGATACTTTTGTAAATTAAAATCGAGGAGGCGACTTTCATAAATCTTGGGGCTCTCGTCGATAGCTAAAGTGTTTGGCGCTGGTACCGGTATATCATCGTCACTGTCGTCTTCCGAGTCAGTTTCATATTTAT